ATTAAAATATTTGTAAAAAATAATTTTTTAACGGGTGTTTAATGGGAAATAACAAAAAATAATAATTAATTAAACTCAACCTGGCTCATATTAATTAATTTTATATCCTAACTTAAATAATTGGTTAATTTATACCAGATTATTTAAACTTAATTAAATAATGTTGAATTAATTAACAATAACAATCGATTAAAACATTAATTGGCATTCAATTTTTTTAATTTAAAAAATGTAATATCGTGTCGTGAACATGTGTTAATTCTAATTAGAATATACAATTTGTATTTTGTGATCGTTATTGTTTTCATAAACTGGTGAAAATTTCATCCCTACAAGCTTGAATTGATGCGTTTTTAAGAGTTTATTGGAAGAAAGTTAACAATTTATTTGTCGATAATAACTGTAAATTATCATTTATTTCAGGTAAGTTCTATTATATTCAATCATACATTAAGTAAATCACAATAATGATATCATATGTTGGCATTTTTTTAGACGAATGCTAGCTGTTACATCTTAAATGATGAAAAAATATTTTTGGCGACTAGCAGCCAACAATTTTTAAAATGATTCGAATTAAAAGTTTGGCAAATTTTCAAAATTTTTTACCAATTTTGAAAATGCGAAGCTCTCAACCCTCGGTGTTTAATTAATTTTTTCACTTTTAAAATGTCATGTATAATTTATTGAATATTTTTTTAATGGAGATTTTTTTTAATTTTGTGACCAACACAATTTATTTTGCAATTAATTTATTTCTAGATATACGTTGAAATTTTGTGCTATATTTTCCGCTAAGGAATATTTATATCTTATAAATTTCCTAAAAGTTGTTTTACTGATTATGATTTGTACCAATGCCAATTTTAGAGAGTTAAAAGACAAACGAAATGTACAATTGCTCAAATGCTTGGCTTAATTGTAAGTATCAAACGCATCATTTAAGATTTACTTTGCAGTTGATCCTGATAAAAGTAACGCCAAATACAACTTACATACAATCTCAGACAATTAGATAAATTGCAACTTTTTAAAATACTAAATCCCATAAAAAATTTCTTGTGAAAATCTTTAGTTATGTAAGAAAAGCAAAATGATACAGATGAAATATTGAAAAATTGTAATATTTTTTATTACAACTATTTCTGTAGATGCATCATAATTGATAGATTAAAGAGAGAATATTAAAGTGAGATAAACTACATTTTGTACATGCGTGTACATGTATATGTACGTACACGTACCTACATAACCGCATAATGTATTAAAATAGAAATACGGAATAAAAAGCCCGTTAATACTTTTTTGGTGAAACGTTTCAATTCAATTATTATCTCCTCAGATCTAGTCACTCAACCAACTAACCAGGCAGTCACCCCTATCAACATTTTAACAATCTCATCAAACAAACACATCAACATATAAACTATATCAAGTCATCAACACGTTAAACCTGTAAACCATATTAAACATATTAAACATCATGAAAAGTATCAACCCATCCCAAAGCCAGCAATCCAAATGGGAACGTCGTCCCGTGATACATTCCCACTAACGTATCAAATTTGTTATCCAACTTAATGCATCAGAAAATCCTAGCGAAATATCTATCCATCATACTCCATCTCTCTACTTCTCTTTCAGTTTTGTTTGGCTTCCTTTTTCAGTTTTTGCCATTTCATTTTAGCACACCATTTTTTTTAAAGACACGCTGTTTTAACATATTTTGTGATTTAAATATGTAATATTTATTTCACAATTATACCATGTATCATTGCTTTTTGTTATTCTTCATAAATATATAACATATGAACACTTTCTAGGCAATACAGAGTTGTTTACTGAATCAATTCTATATAACGAAGTTTCTATAGGAACAACGAATTAATATCCCGGAACCATCAAGTTGGTTCTACAGAGGTCCGACTGTATGCATATTTAGTAAGAGGGCGTAAAAAGTAGAGGTAGTTGAATGTTGTGGGTTTACATTTTTAGCGAACCAAAACAAAAACAAAAAACAAAAACAGAAAATAAAAAACTAAATGAAAAAACTTTTTTTTTTCCTAAAAAAAAGTGCGAAAGGTTCTAAGAGCGTGAAAATGCAGAGAGGCAATTGTGTTTAATTGAAATTGTCTGAGGATTAAAATTTTTTTTGTGAAATTTTTTTCAACAATTACGATTTTTCCCACTTCAAACAAAAATAATTGACTGCATATGTTGCAAATGTTCAATGTTTTTTCCAAACAAGTTTCAAGAGCGTCCCTCGTTTCGTCTGCTTTTCGTTTTAAAAATTTTTTAAAAAGTTCTTTAAAATTCGTTTACAATTATTTTTGCTTATTTTTTGATGGCTTTTAATATAATTTCAAACATGCACACGAACACGCACGTATGCCTCACTCATACGCACACACGCAAACATAAAGGCGCACACACACAAGTGAAGATTTTTTAAGTTCATTGCGGCTTTTTATCGAGGAATGTAACGCAAATTTATGCGTTTCACTATGCGTAGTGTTCATTAGAATAGATAGCGTGAGTGTGTAAAAGTGTTTAAATTCAAAATAATAATTTTTATGTTACTCTACCAAATTTTAAAAATTGTCATACATTTTTCAAATTAATTCTTTAAAAAATGGAGCAATAAAAATACGTCACCACTACCTACTGCTGAGAACATTCATCATCTCAATTTGAGCAGCTAATTTAAAAATGATTTTAAATTAAAAAAAATTAAATGAAAAAACAACATGATAAACGATGACACGTTATTTCCTAGGAATGTCATAGAGGCTCGAACGAAAGTTAGTTACAGGTAAGCAAAATGTTGAAAAGTTTTGTTTCAATTTTTTGCCACTTATTAAATGCGAAATTGGTAAAAAATATATTTAAGAACTTGAATGCTATTATGTAATGAAACGTTAAACTGTGAAATTTCATTACAAAAGTCAATTGAATTTAGTTGATGCCAATATGACATGCAGTCCTATTCTGTCTCGGCATATTCAACTTCATAACTTTTATTCACTTATTTGATATGTTGTTGATTATGAAAAAAGTTTGAAACTTTGAAATGGAATATTGTGACCTGTAACAATAATGGAAAGTTGCTGAAACACAAAATAGTTTTCTAAATAGTTCTCAATAGTTCAAATAAACGTACGATTACGACCAGATATGAAAAAAATGCTCATTTAAATAAAAATTCAGTTGTGATCTGAACCTTTTGTTAAATGATGTTTTTTAAAATATTCATTTGAATATTAACGAAATTTAGAATGCATTATCATCAACTTATCAATCATCTTCTCTTTACTTACGAACCTAAATTTGTTTGATTTGTCGCACATTCGTCTGCTCACGTCTCTTACAATTGATTTCTTTTTCTGGGCAACTCGCTTAATTAACATGAGGTCGTTCATATTCAGTATAAACACGTTCGAAAGTGCAGTTTCTAACATTTTGTCTAACTGACATTTGACAGATTGAGGTGTATTTTTTAAAGTATTAATGGCCACAGAGTGAAAAATAAAGGTAATATGGTATAATTATATACGTGTTTAAGCGTTGTTTCGAAGTAAAATCTTTTTTTTCCATTAAGACTTGTTTCAATAGTTTTAATCGGCGTTGAAATTAAAAAACGCACTTTCTATATACTCAGTTAGTTTAATGAAGGATTTTGTGAGAATATAATTTTTCGCAATTATGCTGATTTCCATTCTGTTAATGTACCATAATTATTTGGACGATTGTTTCTGACATATAATTTGTGTTAAGTCTTGAAAAGATTTGTAAGAGAAAATATAAAACTTTAAATGAAATTATCTCGTCACGTTCCGTTTTTGCCAGCAATTCCAAAAATTGTCACACGTAGTTAATAACAATTTTTGTATTTTATCTAAATAGAATCACAAATTTATGGCCAAATGCAGAAGTAGGTAATTTCAATTTTTATGCTGCGTCAAATAATTTTCCATCGCGTTCGAAGAATTTTATTAGTTTCGAAATGTTTTCAATAGAGTAATGGCCAGACTTTCCGAATTCGTTTCATTTTTTTTTTTATAAAAACGTATTGAAATTTTTGCCAATGTTGTCAGCCGTACTTCGACCTGACTCATATAATGGATAGGAGAATAGGATGTACGTACATCTGCGTACGTGTGTTTCAATACTGAGATGACATACAACTGATCGTGACAACCAAATGCTAAGATTATACCATGGATGTATATATATATATAATAAAAAACTATATATATAAATTTTAAAATTTTAAATAATTTCTAGATAAAAGACAGAAAATAGAATAAGTAATTCAAATTTAAAGAGACGTTGTAGTGTGCCGTCTGAACAATCTTTTATTCAGCTATAAAATAACAAAAGTGACAATAAAATGAAACAAATTGACAAGTTGAATAGAATAAGGTTAACGAATAAAATTAAATAAAATTAAATAAATTAGAATAAAATAAAATAAAATATGAAGTAGAGTATTAATTTAGTCTACGAAGCCCTTCATTCGGAAATAATGAATACAACTAGAGTTAATAAATTTCAAAATTGATTAAGTCACATTTCTATCGCAATTAAAAATTGCATTGCAGATCTAAATGGGACCATTGCAGAAATGATCAGACCAGATAATGTTTACAAGAGATAAATTAAATATTTTAAATAAACCTAGAGTTGAGATTTCGAATGTATTTATTTTTACTTTTAAATGTTTAAAGTCGTCAATCTAGTTATTTTGCAAGTTGCCCGAGTATTTAGATATTTTATAATTTTTAGAATTTAGAAAATTAGTCTCGTGACAGACTCTTAATGTGAACTCTTTTATTATCAAAGCCAAGTAAAATCAAAATAATCAAATAAATAGACAAGCAAAATAAAATATACAAATAAATAAATACAGTTAATTGTTAAAAAGATATGGCTAGTCATCGCTGCTCGTCATTCAAAAATGAGTATAGTGATGATAAAGTAGTATAAAAATTACATATTGTTCACGCATTATTTCTATCGCAATATATGGCATATGATGATGAGATTACATTATTAATTAAGCTATATCTAAATTGATCAGTCCATTTAACATTAATAAAAGACAGATTGAATGGATTGTAAAAACCTATGGGTGAAATTTCAAAAGTGTTTATTAAAATATTGAAATGTTTAAAATCGTTTAAAATGTTGTCTTTTAAATTGTTTATATATTTATTAAGTTTATATTGTTTAGATTTCATGAAGTTTGTTTCATGGCAAACGGTCAGCTCGAGTACTTCAATGGTATCTTTGCTGAGGACAGCGATGTCAGGTCTCAACGATTTGAATAGATTCGATATTGGCTGTACCATTTCTTTTTCTAAATCTGCAAAAATCTCAATACCCGGCCTTGCGCTTGCCCTGATATTATCGATTATCAATGTGAGAATTTTGTTGTGGCGATTCGTATATCTACTCAATGCTGAGGCTGAGCCACA